CATACGCACCCAGGAAACAAAAAATAGCTTACACAAACATAAACACAAAGACCACACACACAAACATACACAAACATGCGAGACATACGCACCCGGGAAACAAAAAAACATTGACACAAACATAAACACAAAGACCATACACACTACATAGACCAAACACAAACATGCACAAACATACACCAACATACGCATCCAGGGAACAAAAACACTCACACAAACATACGCATCCAGGGAACAAAACACTCACACAAACACTCACACACACAAACATACACAAACATGCACAGCATACGCACCCAGGAAACAAAAAACCCTCACACAAACACTCACACACACAAACATACACAAACATGCACAACATACGCATCCAGGAAACAGAACACACCACACAAACATAAACACAAAGACCACACACACAAACATACATAAACATGCACAACATACGCACCCTCGAAACAAAAAAAACTTACACAAACATAAACACAAAAACATGCAAAAACATGCACCAAAATGCACAATATACGCATCGAAGAAACAACAGCACTTACAAAAACATGCACCAAGATGCACAACATACGCATCCAGGAAACAAAAACACTTACACAAACAGAAACATAAAGACAACACACACTACATAGACCACACACAAACATGCACAACATACGCATCCAAGAAACAAAAACACTTACACAAACATAAACACACAGACAATACACACGACATAGACCACACACAAACATGCACCAAAATGCACAACATACGCATCGAAGAAACAACAACACTTACACAAACATAAACACAAAGACAACACACACTATATAGACTACACACAAACATGCACAAACATGCACCAACATGCACAACATACGCATCCAGGAAACAAAAACACTTACACAAACAGAAACATAAAGACAACACACACTACATAGACCACACACAAACATGCACAACATACGCATCCAAGAAACAAAAACACTTACACAAACATAAACACAAAGACAACACACATTACATCGACCACACACAAACATGCACAAACATGCACATATATGCACCAACATACGAAACCAGGAAAGAAAAACACTTACAAAAACATAAACACAAAGATAACTCACACAAACCTGGTTGGTGGTAGGTTGCAATAGGAACTGGAATCCCTTGGAGGTGATGATAGCGCTCTCATCACGGCCTGCCATCAGTCCTGAGCGCAATAGCACTTTCTTTGCATTAACACACACCCCCCCCGAAGTAGACCCCACCAGGAAGGCCAGATGTGCTTCCCAACTGCGCAGAATAGACTATTCGTGTAGGTAAGTCGTCTCACATGTATGTGTATGCACAGATCGTATGTACATACATGGGTATGGCTTGGCGTAGTCACAGGTGGGTGTAGTTGATCGTAGAGTTCTGTGCATTTGTGTACCATCCCCTGAAGTGCTGACCCGAGCAACAGGCCAAAAGTGATTGCCGACTGTGAAGATGGGCAATTTACTCTTCCTAGAAAGTGTTCCCGAATGTATTAAACAGAGGATGTATTTACGCTTTACTTGTATATACATACAGAGGATGTAGCTACGCTATACATGTATATCAATGCAGAGGATGTATATACGCTATACTTGTATATACATACAGAGGATGTATTTACGCTATACTTGTATATACATACAGAGGATGTATTTTCGCTATACTTGTACATACATACAGAGGATCTATTTACGCTATACTTGTATGTACACACAGAGGATGTATTTACGCTAATACTTGTACAGACATACAGAGGATGTATTTTTGCTATACTTGTATATACATACAGAGGATGTATTTACGCTATACTTGTATATACATACAGAGGATGTATTTACGCTATACATGTATATAAATACAGAGGATGTATTTACGCTATACTTGTATATACATACAGAGGATGTATTTACGCTATACTTGTATATAAATACAGAGGATGTATTTACGCTATACTTTTATATGTGGGTATGTAGAATTCTCGGCGTTTTCACATACAACGCCGAAGTGAACCTCACCAAGTAGAGTAGTGTGCTTTCCAATAGGATTAACAGTACAACTATATACTACTCAAGCGACTGATTCCCATTTGACGCATACACAGTATGCATTCTTATATTACAACAACCACATAATGTCAAATCCATTGACACACCTGTAAAGGTTATGGTCTGTGTGCATCCAGTTCTCAAAGCTCGCACACACACACAACACTCCTCTAACGCGGTCAAATCCACAACAACCCCATAACGCGGTTAAAACCACAACACCCCTCTCACGCGGTTAAAACCACAACACCCCTTTAACACGGTTAAAACCACAACACCCCTCTAGCACGGTTAAAACCACAACACCCCTCTAACGCGGTTAAAAGCCACAACACCCCTCTGACGCGGCTAAAACCACAAC